TTTCAAAACCTAGCAGAAATATTTTAAAGATTGACCAGGATACGAAGTGGGTTCGAGATTTTTTTTGCGTGAAAACCCAGTCTTGCTTTTCAAGATGATAAAACGCACTAAAAATTATTTTCAAGAATTTAAGATTAACGGAAGTTTTTTCATTTTTAGTCTCAACCAGTAAAGTAAAGTAGTAAATTACTTTAAAAATGATGGCTGATTTTTTTAGTGATAAGACATGCTCATCTTATCATGGGATTAAAAATAAGAGCAATTGCTCTGGGATCAAATTGCTAGAGACAGCAATTTGATCGCTAGAGACAGCAAATTGCTAGAGACAGCCAAGCAGACTTGAGCTGGGTTTTAAAAAAAATATTGATAAAAATATGAATCCGGAAATTACTTTGAATCTTCAATCGTGTTGTCTTTTTCTACTTCGAGACAAAATCTAATCTGTACTGATTGGTTAATATTTACTCTATCCCAATTTGCTTTGTGTCCTTCAAAATTATTGGTATCAGGAAACTTGGATTTCAAAACCTTTAGTTTGCGGTAAAAAAGCGACATGGATTGAATGATAAGAACTCTCAGACATAGATTCTGGTTGTCTTGCCTTTCCAGATTTTCGCTCTTTTAGCGACAATCTAAAAGAACTCAAACCAACTTTGGAAAAGTTTTAAAAATCGATGTATCAGTTTTTTAAAACCGTTTATAAGTTATATGATCGGGTGACAAAAAATGCTAATTATATAAATTCCAAAGTATGGAAACAATGTTATCGTTTTTTTCTTACAATTCCACAGAATGAAAAACGTTGTATGAGAATCACAATTGTGAAATGAATGCATTCGCAAATGAAAACCACATGCACTTGGAATTGTATGATAAGTCTTTTTCTATACCATGGATTTGAACTACACGCATTTTTCCTTGTAGTTTTTTTTAGTGTTTTGCCTTATTATTGTGTTTCGCACTGAGCAAAAATCCAAAAAATTAATTTCAATAATGAGAAAACCAAGTTAAACGGGCTTGAGTAGAAGATTTAATCAAATACTTCTAAAGGTCAAGTCAGATAAAACTTATATTTCACTCAAAATGATAACAAAAATGTAACATTTTTCTATATGGCTATAAGTCTTCTCTTTGAACGCTGACGTAAGAACTGAAACTGATCTAAGACTGAAAGATACGAATTTTGCCATCACAGAAAACCGTCAATGTGAAAATTGATTCTTTTATAAATAAAAGTTTTAAGTGGACTACGTTAAAAGGAAAAACTTGGAAGTTTTGGGTGAAAAAAAAATTATTAAACGTTTCTTTTGCTCATAAAACTAGTTTAGCAACTTACTGAGATACTGAGAACTGAACAAACGTTTTCCCAGATATGAAATTTTTTTATGGAAAAAATTCTGATTAAACAGTTCTATAACTAGAACTCGCATGATAAGCATTTTTGTTCTTAGAACCCATGCATGGAAACGTATGATAAGCTTTTTTGTATGGAACTGAATGATAAACATTTTTGTTGTATGAGGGCCAAATCGAGTAATCGTCACATCAAATATTCAAACAAATTTTGGGTTCAAAAATGTTTTTTCTCCAAAGACGAAAATCCTCGCTGAAAAAAAGTACTGAAAAAACGCAGATTTTAGTTGAAATAGCAGTGATCTTCAATTCAGAATGCGTTGAGCATCACTTTGAATTGTTTTTCTAAAAAACATCTTTGACAGAAAAAGAAACAATTCCAATGATTCTCGATACTATGGGTATCCGAAACTCAGTAAGAAAATAGAAAATTTCAGCCAAAATAAACTAAATCCAAAAATATCCATACTGGCCAAGTAAAAAAAAATGAAAAATTTTTGATATCAAAAAATCAGCTTCAGATTCAATCATATCTGAAACAAGGTCGGGTTTAGGGGAAGGGGGATGCTTTTTCTGCCTTACAGATTTGACCCCTTCACCAACTAAAGGGTCCTTCTTTGGTATTATTTCATAACATCCAGAATTTTGATTTTTTTGCCCCCTCAAGAAAATCCCAGATCCAACCCTGTCTCAATTAGCAAAGAGTTGATAAAAATTTTGAAATCAACTCAAAAAAATGTTGCGTTAAAACTTTCTTTGACTCGCATGTACTGTATTGGTTTTCAAAATAAATCAAGTGCTGTTTTAATAGTGCTAATTGAGATATCATTACTCTAGATTTATTTCTGCTTACACTTTGATCATGATTTTTGTTCTCAATTCGTGGAATCTTTTAATTGGCATGGAATTTTATGGTATGGGCGAATTTTATACAAGGGATCTTTGGTATGGTATCTTTTGTCATGGGAGCTTTTCTTATGGTATCTTTTGTCCTGACACCGTTCAAATATACCGAACATTTTGTTGATGCTAGGAAAATTATGTAAATGAAGTCTGGATATTCCTTCTTACATCCTAGTTCTCTACTTTCAAAACTTAGCAGAACTATTTTAAAGATTGACCAGGATACGAAGTGGGTTCGATATTTTTTTTTTGCGTGAAAACCCAGTCTTGCTTTTCGTGATGATAAAACGCACTTAAAATTATTTTCAAGAATTTAAGATTAACGGAAGTTTTTTCTTTTTTAGTCTAAACCAGTAAAGTAAAGTAGTAAATTACTTTAAAAATGATGGCTGATTTCTTTAGTGATAGGACATGCTCATCTTATCATGGGATTGAAAATAAGAGCAATTGCTCTGGGATCAAATTGCTAGAGACAGCATTTTCGAACGCGAGTCGTAGTATTGCGTTTCGGAGTTCTCTTGGAGGGTGTAAGGAGACGTCTATAAAAGGAGACGTCTGTAAGGAGACGTCTACAAGTTTTCGAGGTATTTTGACAATGTTTAGATTAAACGAACAATAGCTTGGCTGAACTTGGCTCTAACTGTATAATTTTGTCATCTGTTGGAAAAAAGTTTTGTTATTTATTCTGTTTTAATAAAATCCGCTAGTGTCTTTTATTTTTCAACCTTCAATAAAACTGTATCCTTGTAAAAACCTCAAAAAACTTTGAGCCTTTTTAAAAAATAAACTATCATAAGACAGTGTGAAAAAAAATCAGTTGATTAAAATTGATTTTTTGTGTTTAAATGACCAAAAAACACATTAATTAAAATCAGAATGATTAAAATAAAATCACACTAAAGTTCTTTAAAAGCCAAGCAGACTTGAGCTGGGTTTTAAAAAAAATATTGATAAAAATATGAATCCGGAAATTACTTTGAATCTTCAATCATATTGTCTTTTTCTACTTCGAGACAAAATCTAATCTGTACTGATTGGTTAATATTTACTCTATCTCAATTTGCTTTGTGTCCTTCAAAATTATCGGTATCAGGAAACTTGGATTTCAAAACCTTTAATTTGCGGTAAAAAAGCGACATGGATTGATTGATAAGAACTCTTATTCATAGATTCTGGTTGTCTTGCCTTTCCAGATTTTTGCTCACTTAGCGACAACCTAAAAGAACTTAAACCAACTTTGGAAAAGTTTTAAAAATGATTTATCAGTTTTTTAAAGCCGTTTATAAGTTATATGATCGGGTGACAAAATGCTAATTATATAAATTCCAAAGTATGGAAACAATGTTATCATTTTTTTCTTACAATTCCACAGAATGAAAAACGTTGTATGAGAATCACAATTGTGAAATGAATGCATTCGCAAATGAAAACCACATGCACTTGGAATTGTATGATAAGTCTTTTTCTATACCATGGATTTGAACTACACGCATTTTTCCTTGTAGTTTTTTTAGTGTTTTGCCTTATTATTGTGTTTCGCCCTGAGCAAAAATCCAAAAAATTGTTTTCAATTATGAGAAAATCAAGTTAAACGGGCTTGAGTAGAAGATCTAATCAAATACTTCTAAAGGTCAGTTCAGATAAAACTTATATTTCACTCAAAATGATAACAAAAATGTAACATTTTTCTATATGGCTATAAGTCTTCTCTTTGAACGCTGACGTAAGAACTGAAACTGATCTAAGACTGAAAGATACGAATTTTGCCATCACAGAAAACCGTCAATGTGAAAATTGATTCTTTTATAAATAAAAGTTTTAAGTGGACTACGTTAAAAGGAAAAACTTGGAAGTTTTGGGTGAAAAAAAAATTATTAAACGTTTCTTTTGCTCATAAAACTAGTTTAGCAACTTACTGAGATACTGAGAACTGAACAAACGTTTTCCCAGATATGAAATTTTTTTATGGAAAAAATTCTGATTAAACAGTTCTATAACTAGAACTCGCATGATAAGCATTTTTGTTCTTAGAACCCATGCATGGAAACGTATGATAAGCTTTTTTGTATGGAACTGAATGATAAACATTTTTGTTGTATGAGGGCCAAATCGAGTAATCGTCACATCAAATATTCAAACAAATTTTGGGTTCAAAAATGTTTTTTCTCCAAAGACGAAAATCCTCGCTGAAAAAAAGTACTGAAAAAACGCAGATTTTAGTTGAAATAGCAGTGATCTTCAATTCAGAATGCGTTGAGCATCACTTTGAATTGTTTTTCTAAAAAACATCTTTGACAGAAAAAGAAACAATTCCAATGATTCTCGATACTATGGGTATCCGAAACTCAGTAAGAAAATAGAAAATTTCAGCCAAAATAAACTAAATCCAAAAATATCCATACTGGCCAAGTAAAAAAAAATGAAAAATTTTTGATATCAAAAAATCAGCTTCAGATTCAATCATATCTGAAACAAGGTCGGGTTTAGGGGAAGGGGGATGCTTTTTCTGCCTTACAGATTTGACCCCTTCACCAACTAAAGGGTCCTTCTTTGGTATTATTTCATAACATCCAGAATTTTGATTTTTTTGCCCCCTCAAGAAAATCCCAGATCCAACCCTGTCTCAATTAGCAAAGAGTTGATAAAAATTTTGAAATCAACTCAAAAAAATGTTGCGTTAGAACTTTCTTTGACTCGCATGTACTGTATTGATTTTCAAAATAAATCAAGTGCTGTTTTAATAGTGCTGACCAAACGAAATGTCGACACCGTCTACAGATGGCCAGGGCAACCGAGTTGATCAAATTGAGTGCCCAAGTTGTTGTTCTAAAATGTCGGGCATTATGCCGGTGCTTCCGTGCGGACACTGCATCTGTCGAAAGTGTGCTTTTTCGATAGAAAGCAAAACGGTCCAGAAATGTCCTCTTCATGATTGTCGTAGCAATAAAACAAGTTTTACAGAGCGGATTAAAGTGGATTTACTGCCCACAAGGCACTGTGGTGCAAATATTGGCAATAGCAGTACGTCACCTCCGCCATACGCAGGTATGACTATTTTATCTCTATGCTGCTTTCCAAACAAATAATGCGAATCATACAAGGTTTCTAGCTTAGAAAATAAGGAAAAAACATACTCATAATTTTGTTTCAATTACTTTTAAATGAAGCATATGCTTAAAAGTATAGCTTAAAAAGGTTAATGAATGGCATACAAAGTGATTTGCATAAAATTACAAAAAACTGAAAACTTGATGCTAGAAAAAAAATTAACAGCTCATAGCAACTTTTCGAGATTATGTTCATTTTATTTTTAGTTTTTTCCCGTTATTTAACCTTTTTCGCTATAAACTTGAGCATCATGTTTCAATATAACAAAAATTATAAAAAAAATTTGTGTCGCGGCGGTCGTGCTTCTCATGCTTAATGTTTTTTCGGTTTCACTTATCCCGGATTTTTTCTTGTGCGTTTAACCGATCGCGGACTCATCGGTAGGCTCGTAGCACTTTGTGATCCTTTGATTGTGTAATCGATGCCCTGCCATTGAAATGTTAGTGTGCGAGCAAGTGGCTTCACGTGATCTCTGTTTTTAGGTCTACCACAACCTGACCAGATTTGGCTGGCAGCACGTCGAAGTTCTAGGCTCAAAAAAATAAAACTCGGCTGCGATTTTTGAATCATAAAACCAAGCCTCGATCGGACACTGAGGTGTGTTCAAATTAATCAATTGTTTATACAGTGCTGATTCAAATTAACCGGACTAAACTCGTTAAACTTGAAATTTAAAACGCGTTTTTCTCAAATTGGTTTGAGTTTACGTGAAAACGTATAAATACAAAACTTGCCTAAAGTTTAGCAGAATTAATATGGTGTAATGTGTTTTGCGAAATTCGGGCCCAAAATTTTACCCCAAAAATGGGTCATTTTGGTTTTTCTTAGTTAATCAAAAAATACCCCGAAAATACCCGGTCGATCACAGACATGAATTTATCAAAGTCAGCCCCTTACGTAGCCCAACAAACTTTAAGCAGGGTATACTCTCCCAAAAAAAATTTCAAACCGTTTAAAAACTGTTTTTAAATAAAAAGTTGGTATTTTATATAGTAAAAATGACCTTTTTTGTCTATCAAACAAAAATAAATTAACTTATACAATATTTTGGAGATTATACCCTTCTTTAAGTTTGTTGGGCTACGTAAGGGGCTGACTTTGATTTATTTATGTCTGTGATCGACCGAGTATTTTCGGCGTAACTTTTGATTAGCTAAGAAAAGCCAAAATGACCCATTCCTGAGATAAAATTTTGGGCCCGAATTTCGCAAAACGAATTACACAATATTAATTCTGATAAAATTTTAAGGATATTTGTTTTCATACGTTTTCACGTAAACTCAACCCAATTTGAGAGAAACGCGTTTTAAATTTTAAGTTTAACGCGTTTTGTCCGGTTAATTTAAATCAGCACTGTACTTAACCGTACGAATGAAAAACATGCATAGGTTTTGCTAAAAATTAGATTTTTTATTCTACATGATTTTGACAATGGAGTTTTTTCCAGAAGTGATTGGTTACTTTAAAGAAACTTGTTCCGTAATTTTGAAGCAGACAAAAAATTAAAATCATGTTCGTTTTCAAATTGGCATGAAGTTTTAAGAAAAAAACCTATTCAAAAATTACATGAATCTCCCGTACATTAATACTTTTTTTGGATAGACAAATACCAATCGATCATCTTTTAAGTAGTTTCCTTAAAACCTAAAAATTCAAAAGGGGTTTCTTCATTGACAGAACAAGACTGCTCGCGTATCAGAGCGAAGCCCTTATTGATTGGAATGAACTTCGAAGCCAATTAAAAGGTTGAAAAATTGATGAAATTAACGAATTTTCTCCAATTTTTTCTCCAATTTATCCCTCAACATGCTATGTAAAATAAAACAGAGTGTGTTTAATTTTCTTATTCTTTTAAAAGGATTAAAAAGCTGGACTCGATTCAATTTGGAGCACATTAATTTCGCTTGTACGTCTTATAAAAACGCAATATATCGCGCAATAAATATCCCAAATTGGCCATATTAGCGATTCTTAAAACCCGCAACTCTTTAAAACAAAAATGATCACAGGTAAATTCTAATTTTAACTATGAGTCCAGAATAACAAAATTATTTAGATGGTGTGAAAGGTTTCGTCAAAATGGCTAAGTTAAGAAGTTTAAAATTGACTGAAAGAAAAAACCACCCCTAGCATAAGTTTTTCACTTTTTCCTCGAAAGTCAGAAAAAAATTTAAGGCAACCTGAGGTATCTAATATTGCATGAAACCGTTCAAAGTTATTAAAACTAAATCAATTGTATTTTAATTTGTATTTTATTAATTTGGTAGTTTTCTACTGAATGGTTTTAAAAGTTTTTATAAATCGATTTCACATCAAAAAAATTTAAAATACTTCATTATAAGGTCAAACTGTGTAATTTGTGAATTGTAAGTGGAATCCACAACAAGGACGCTTTCTTTGTTCTTCTTTTTTCCTTTCGTTTTCTTTGATTGTTCCGTCGCAGTTTTAACAACTTTGAAGACTTGTCTCTGTCAGAGACCTACATATATCCAGTACGTAGCTTGGCCTCGTTATGTTCGAGAAGAAATTGACGAGTCGTCTAAACAATAAAAAGAAGTTGAATGAAAAAATGGACTCTAAGTAAATTCCAGGATATTCTATAACAAAAATGCTCAATTAGGTCGAAGCCCCGGATGTTCCGACTATTCATAAACTGGTCTCGAATAGTTTTTTGCAAAAGAAATTTCTACAAAGTTCATTTTTAGCTAAATATTGAAAATCGCGTGTAACTCATAAGACCAATTAGCATGCCTTTATTGAATTTTAATCGGTTTTGATGAGCGTGATGATAATCACGGCGCTCTTTTCGTCACGTTACTTTATTAGTGAGCGTTTAACATAAATTATTGTTGAGCTCGCCCATTCTTGGACCACGAAGTCCATTGACCCGAGGGAGACATCATTTCGAGAACTGGTCTGAATAATAAAACCACCCCGAGCATAAATATTCCTTACATTTTTCGAAAGTCGGATAAAAACTAAAAATAAGCTTTAATTAAGAAGACCTGAAAACTGCCGTAGGTGTGAGTGAAAAATTCGAATAAAAATCGAGTAAGCATAACTAGTTAAAATCAGTCCCTTTACACATTGAAAAAATGTAAAAATTTTCGAAAAACACCAGATAGTTTTCTGTGCTCTAAAGTAAAATATCGAGCAAATCAAGCTCTCTTCCTTGCTGGTTTAATGTATGTATACCTAGAAACTGAATGTGATTGTTTCAGATCAGCCCAGTACATCCTCGGTGACATGTTGCGAACTACATACAACTGAACCTTTGAAATATCACTGCAACCAAAGCTCACAAACGACCTGTCAGATATGTTTTAGGCTGTAATGATATCTGATTTTCGATAAAGTAGTTCGAGCATAGTTTATTTCATTGTTCACTGACATAAGGTAAAGCCAGAAGAACTATACCGTGTTACCTGTCTATGGGAGTCCAACCCTGGAGCCAGGCCTGGCTATAGCAAAAACATGTCAAAAACTTGCAGAGAATGCCCTGGACTTTCTGGGGCACTCTGATAATCCAGGCCGGGTTTTTAATGTAATTTGGCTGCACTTTTGAACTGGACTTTAATGTAATTTGGCTGCTTTTTACTCGCTTGCCCGAAAACAACATCAACCAAAGGATATTATTATTAAAGAAAACCCACAGGTTAACTGGTGAGAATCTCGCAGATAAACTGCATTTGTAGAATAAGCGTTGATAAGGAAGTTTGAACATCGCACAGCTTAAGAACTTAACATAACGAATCACAAGTTTTTCGATGAAGCTAAGTAGCTTCTATCCAAAAGAAACGGTGTTTTAAATACTTTGGGATAGTTCTTTGTCAAGTTTAGTTCAAAACAAAAAATCCAATTATGGCTCCACACACAACAGTCTTTGAGATTTTTTTTTTTGTGTGTAAAAATTGAGTCTAGGCTACGTTATCTACCAAATTAACTACAATTTGTAAAAAAAATTTGTGAAAAATTTGTGAAATATTTGTGAAAACACTCTGATTTCCTAGAAGGGTACCTAGCAGGTGTCCAGGCCTGTTTATCCAGGATTTTTCATGGATTTCCTAGCAGGGTTACTGGATAGCCTCTGCCAGGAATTACATGATTGCCCTGGTTCCTTTAAGTTTTGCCCTGGCTTTGGGATAACAATGGATGTCCGATGCTAGCCAAATGGTTTCTAATCAGTTAATTTTTTCAATAATTTGTCATCAAACTTTTTTCATCGTTTGCAAATCTAAACTTGCAGACAAAAATTTGACTTGAAATGATCATTTCTGGCTTTTCATTTAGTTATTTGCAAACCAGTTGTTTCGATATGCCATTGCTTTTTTTCTTATTTTTAGCTGATAGATTTATGAAAACGTTAACTGTTTTATTGCAGATTTTTATTAAAAAGCAACAAATTTGAGATCTTATTGACAAAACTTCTATTTGCCCTTAGGTTGTCTAAGCAATGAAATTGGCACCATCGAAAACAATCGAGCGCTATGCTGAAGATGTTGCTATACAAGATAAAACTAGGATGCATTTTTTGTAATAATCCAATGTATTGAAAGTTATGCAAATTTATGCATCCTTAGTTGAAATGAAAATGAAAAAACAGATGCTTAAAATGTAGAAAAAAATTCTTGAAATTGAAAAAATAGAGTATTCAGTTTTTTTACCGCTCTTTTTGAAAAAAATCTGTTGTAGACTGGAAACGACATTTAGATCGGTCAGAGAATCGGACTGATATGAATGGTCCTGTTGATCTATTTTTTTCCGCTACGAGAAAAACCGTTATTCCGTACAAATTTTGTTTTTTCTTGTTTTTACGATGATTATAGATAAAATTCAAAGTTATTTTAAAACTGAATAGCGTAGAAGCTTCTCTGTTTAACATTTTGCCAAGCATTGGTGAAAAAGAGTTTTTAGGGAAGCTAAATATTTTCAAAGTAAACAAAATTGATATGTTTTTTTTTGCGGCGTTAACTCGTTGATACTCTTTGTCTGCTTGCGGCACTTGAATTTTATCTAAAATAATAGAGTTTGAACGCTAATAGCCGGTTACTGTGCAACTATCACAGAATGTAACGACCATAGTCTTATGAAAAACTTTAGAAAACGTGTTTTGGAACTATGCAATTTTTCTGCGGAGTGTGATAAAAGTGTCCGAACGAAAACCTAGAATTTAATCAAACTTGTCAGTCATAGTAAATTAAGCAAGTTTGAAACTTTTGAATTTTTGAAGTTCTTAATTCCAAAATTGGCTCATAATTTTCTATGGTAAAATTAAGGTTTCACGGGTGAAGTTAAGCAAATAAAAATTTTTCCTCCTATTTCAAGCAAGCTGCTCGCTCGCTTTACTCTCTTTAAAATTTCACAATTTTAAAATCGTTTTTTTTTAATTGGGTTAACTTTTGAATTAATTTGATTTTCGTAATCGCATTTGAAAAGGCTTCAATCTGATATATCACTGGGCCAGTTCCGATGATTGTTTGTGTTATCTGATTTTGCGTGGAAAAAAAAATAAAACACACCTCATCAAAGTTCCTCACCATTTGCAATGATGGAAATAATGAAGATATCATATTCAGTGAAATTTGTCAATGAAATTGACAAATTTCACTGATTATGAGGACAAGAGGTTTGTCAATGAAATGTGAACTGAGTCAAAGAATTTCCGAAAAATTATGGGAAAACAATAATTTAATTTAAAAAATCTTGAACAAATTAAAAGACATTAGCAGACATCAGAATTTTACTCTCATAAAATAATATACAGTAGAAATGGAACGGTTGCAATAAGAAAAAAAACTAATCATTCATTTTCTACGATAAAAAATTTATGGCTAGCATCTGTTTTTTGATTGCCAAACCGAAAACTTTATAAAGTAATTTCCAAATTGCCCCCTGATTTTGTCTAGCTTTTTTAGTTGCAAAACCTATTTTGTACACTTGCAAATTTTGAGTTTTGTATTCTTATGCTGGCAAAATTGTTGTGCATGTAGTAGTCCTGGATACTTAACATTTGCCAAAAATTTTCGTTTTCTTGAACAATTTTTTCCAAAAAGGCTCATAAAATATCTTTTTTCGTTTAGCATATATTTGGTTGTCCTGGACAATGAATATTGAATTCAGAATTTCAAATTCGAAAAATTTTTTTTCTGGAAAATAGTTGCCAATATTTAGAAGCCTACCTTTTCATGATTTTGTTTGTGTGAGACATATGTAGTCAGGTCATTTTGAATGCATTGTACGTACGTGCAAGCCTTTTAATATTTTGGTAAATCAAGCTCTGAGTAACCAGGGTCTTCGTCTCTTGGTTTCGGTTTCAAACACAATCCGAAAAGTTTAAGAATGGCGTAAAAGAAAAAAAAAGTTTTGGTTTTTGGAAGAATGGTAGTCATGAAACTTTCATTTAAGAAAAACTACTAATCATTGTTTTTCCATGCTAATTTTTGTACTTATGGATTTCGATGAAATTTGTATTTTTGACAGTAATCAATATATGGAAAGAAAATGACTAGCAGTTTTGGTCAACCCGACTGTTCCGAAGGTCAAATCAACATATTTTTGCTGTTAAAAACAAAAAATTATATGTTTTTGAATTTTAGAAGATATTAATCAAAACATTTTTAAAAGTAAACAAATAACATGAAAAAAAAAATAAAACAGCCAATTTTCGGCCAGTAACATTTTACTAGTAAAAACTCTCAAATATTACGTTTTTATGGTACCGAGTTCACACTGTTTAATTTCTGGGAGATTAAGATAAACTTTTTTGATTAAAAAATTTTCCCTTTACGCAAACCATTGAGCTCAAAACGCGTAGGGATTGCTGCTTGAAAACGACTACACAAGAACATAATTTTTAAACACTCAAATTTAACAGCAAATGTTTCTACGAAATGTGCTTTTGGTGCTTTACTGTGCCTTTTTTTTAAAAAAAACCTGGTTCGCTTTTTGAAGAAGCTTGAAAATAATACGGTCATTTTGTTTGCAGTTGCATTATATGTGGTTCGAGTAAAGACGAGTGACATTATCATGGCTGGCACGGATGCCAATGTGTTTGTGGTGTTGTTCGGCGAAAACGGGGTCAGTGACCAGTTCCAATTGAGTGACAGCAAAACTCACCTGAACAAGTTCGAGAGAAACAATGTTGACGAGTTCCACTTGCCATTCATGCCATCCCTCGGAAATTTGTACAAGCTTCGAATCACACACGACAATAAATGTAAGATCATTTAAAATTAAATTGAGACTCTTTTTTTGTCTACCCACTTGAGGTGCTCGAATTATGCCTCATTTTTCTTGAACAAAAATTGTTGTATTTCGACCTTGTCGACAAAGTTTTGGTTTGTTTCGAGTTTCTCAACAAAGTTTTAGCATGTTTTTACTTATCGACCAATTTTTGGTGTGTTTCGACTTTCTCGACCAATTTTTAGTAGGTTTCGACTTTCTCGACAAAGTTTCGGTATGTTTCGACTTTTGTATCATCTTTTGGTATGTTTCGACTTTATTGGTCAATTTTTGGTACGTTTCAACCTTCTCAACAAAATTTTGGTGTATTTCGACTTTTTCGCTCAATTTTTAATATGTTTCGACTTCTTTGACCAATTTTTGGTATGTTTCGACTTTATCGACCAAGTTTTGGTAAGTTTTGACTATATTGGCCAATTTTGGTATCTTTCAATCTTATCGATCAATTTTCGATTTGTTTCAATTTTATCGACCAATTTTTTGGTGTGTTTCGACTTTCTCGACAAGTTTCGAAATGTGTTGACTTTCTCGGCCATATTTTGGTAAGTTTCGACTTCTTGACAAAACTTTGGTATGTTTCGACTTTCTGGGCCAATTTCTGATATGTATGAACTTTTTCGAGAATTTTTTGGTAGGCTTCGACTTTCTTGACCAATTTTTGGCATGTTTTGACTTTCTCGACCAATTTGTGGTATGTTTCGACTCTCCCGACAAAAATTCGGTATGTTTCAACTTTATCGGCAAAATTTTGTTATGTTTCGACTTTCTCGGCCAGTTTTTGGTATTTTTCGAGTATGTCGACAAAGTTTTGGTACGTTTCGACTTTCTCGACCAGTTTTTGGTTTGTTTCGGCTTTCTCGACGCCACAAAAAAAATGTTCCTCTTGTTCAAACCAGTTTAAGTATGTATTGACTTTCTCGACCAAAATTGTTTTGGCTTTCTGGACTGTCTCGACCGAAATTTTAAAATAGATTATTTGTTAGATCCCGCATAGATATAATTTGAAAATAATTTGACTGTGCTCGACTTATGTTTCGACTCTCTCGGTCGAGCACTTTCACCCGAGCTCTCCAATCTGAATTGTTTCAAGGTTTTTCTTTTTTTTTGTTTAGATTGACCGATTGTTACATAAATGGCATGCGAACTAAATTTAGTCATTGACGAGGATATCTGGCTTTCAAAATAAACCTTATAATACCCCTCATTACACCATAAAATGGATGTAGAGTTGGTGGGAAAATTAAAAAAAAGCCAAGTTTACTACGATTTCGATAAGTTTTTTTTGTATCTAGGTGCTTTTTGCTGTACTGCCAAAAAATTCAGTTTCATGGTCGAACTTCAGAAAAGAACCATTTAAAATTAAATTGAGACTCTTTTTTTGTCTACCCACTTGAGGTGCTCGAATTATGCCTCATTTTTCTTGAACAAAAATTGTTGTATTTCGACCTTGTCGACAAAGTTTTGGTTTGTTTCGAGTTTCTCAACAAAGTTTTAGCATGTTTTTACTTATCGACCAATTTTTGGTGTGTTTCGACTTTCTCGACCAATTTTTAGTAGGTTTCGACTTTCTCGACAAAGTTTCGGTATGTTTCGACTTTTGTATCATCTTTTGGTATGTTTCGACTTTATTGGTCAATTTTTGGTACGTTTCAACCTTCTCAACAAAATTTTGGTGTATTTCGACTTTTTCGCTCAATTTTTAATATGTTTCGACTTCTTTGACCAATTTTTGGTATGTTTCGACTTTATCGACCAAGTTTTGGTAAGTTTTGACTATATTGGCCAATTTTGGTATCTTTCAATCTTATCGATCAATTTTCGATTTGTTTCAATTTTATCGACCAATTTTTTGGTGTGTTTCGACTTTCTCGACAAGTTTCGAAATGTGTTGACTTTCTCGGCCATATTTTGGTAAGTTTCGACTTCTTGACAAAACTTTGGTATGTTTCGACTTTCTGGGCCAATTTCTGATATGTATGAACTTTTTCGAGAATTTTTTGGTAGGCTTCGACTTTCTTGACCAATTTTTGGCATGTTTTGACTTTCTCGACCAATTTGTGGTATGTTTCGACTCTCCCGACAAAAATTCGGTATGTTTCAACTTTATCGGCAAAATTTTGTTATGTTTCGACTTTCTCGGCCAGTTTTTGGTATTTTTTCGAGTATGTCGACAAAGTTTTGGTACGTTTCGACTTTCTCGACCAGTTTTGGTTTGTTTCGGCTTTCTCGGACGCCACAAAAAAAATGTTCCTCTTGTTCAAACCAGTTTAAGTATGTATTGACTTTCTCGACCAAAATTGTTTTGGCTTTCTGGACTGTCTCGACCGAAATTTTAAAATAGATTATTTGTTAGATCCCGCATAGATATAATTTGAAAATAATTTGACTGTGCTCGACTTATGTTTCGACTCTCTCGGTCGAGCACTTTCACCCGAGCTCTCCAATCTGAATTGTTTCAAGGTTTTTCTTTTTTTTTGTTTAGATTGACCGATTGTTACATAAATGGCATGCGAACTAAATTTAGTCATTGACGAGGATATCTGGCTTTCAAAATAAACCTTATAATACCCCTCATTACACCATAAAATGGATGTAGAGTTGGTGGGAAAATTAAAAAAAAGCCAAGTTTACTACGATTTCGATAAGTTTTTTTTGTATCTAGGTGCTTTTTGCTGTACTGCCAAAAAATTCAGTTTCATGGTCGAACTTCAGAAAAGAACCATTTGTTACATTTTTAAATCTAGTTTCCCCCCCCCCCCCCCCCGAACTTTGGTATATTTCTAGGGCCGAGTGCTTCGTGGCACCTGGAAAGTGTAGAAGTGGAGGAGAAAGGAAACCCAGAAAAAAAGTGGAAGTTCTTCTGCAATCAGTGGCTGTCCACCACCAAAGGCGACAAGACCACATCCAGGGACCTCCTCTGTGGCACAATCGGTCCTGAGAATTTGAACCCGCGCTCAAGTTTCTTGGGTAAAATTGTTTATCATGTATATGTTTGGGTTTACAAAATTCTTTCTCATCAATTATTTTTGGCATGATTAGGCCGTGCAGGGCCTTATATGATTCAAAATGACCAAATTTTTTTGATTAAACTATTTGTAGCAACCATTTTTGTTCGTATCGTAATCGTTTCAATATTTTTTACTCAAATGAAAATCCTATTTTATTTTTTCCGTTTATCAATCACCCCAAAAA